CTGGGTGTACTGCCAGTGGTAGGGGTGGTCCGCCCTGCCCCCCCACCTGTTCCCCCTCCACTGACACTGGTATTGAGCAGTGGGCCCCCCAGCCCACCCCATCAAGCCATCCGCGTCAAGAGGGTGTCCACCTTCTCTGGCCGTTCCCCACCAGCACCTCCCCCAAGCAAGACCCCCCGGCTGGAGGCAGACAGAGAGTCCTTGGAGGATGCTTCTCAGGGGCTGGGGCTTAGTGGCAGCGGGTGAGTGAATGTGGTGAGGCTGCAGAGGTGGGCAAGAGGGATGAGCAGGAAAAGGCAACTCAGCCGTGTGCTTTCCCCCCACTCCAGGTGTAGCCGAGTGAGGATGAAAACCCCCACGGTGCGTGGAGTTCTCGACCTAGATGATCCTGGGGAGCCCACTGGGGAGGAAAGCCCAAGGTGAGTGGCCAGTTCCTTTCTCTGGAGGTTCTGGGACCTCTGTCCTTTTCCCCTTTCTGACAGGTCTCTCCTCACAGGCCCCTCCAGGACCGGTCCCCTCTGCTGTCATTTCCAGAAGGTGGTCCTCCCCGGGCCCCCGATGGTCCCCCTGACCTGCTGCTTGAGTCCCAGTGGCACCATTACTCAGGTAGGGACCAACCTTTCCCTCACTGCCGCCTGCCCTGCGCTTGCCTCTGCTGGGAGACTGACAGATACAGAATTGGTCCACTTTAAAAAACACCCACTGCACGTTGTACATTGCACACCCACCTAGATACGAGCCTGAGGCTAGGTGCTGGCATTAGAGATGCCCTTGGGGAGCTTATGGCCTGTGGGAGAAATAGACACAGAGATGAAGTTAGAGCTCAATGCAAGAGGTTCTCTGAGAGTGCTTGTGTGGTGTTCCTAAGAGCCCAGGGACGGCTTCAGATCCTAGTCTGCTAGGGTCAGAGGTTTAGGAACCTCGTGAAGCCAAAGATAACGTTCTGGCCCAGAGCGGGGGCAGGAACAGTAGGAAGGAGATCAGAGAGTGGTGGTCTAGAGGCCCCAGGAAGGGAGTAGTCAGCAGTTCCGACTGCCAGAGAGGACCCCAGGCATGTTGGGTCTGGGGTTGGTATGGCATGTGGGCAGGTGGCACAAGGTGGGGATAGGATATGTCAGAGTACAGAACTGAAGACAGTGGTTGATGAGGGAGCCAGAACAACAGCCAGGCACCTTGCCAAAAAGCTCAGCTAAGGATCTGGGAGGAGCAGGTGAGATAGCATCTCAGAGGAGTTTGGTGTGAGGGCTGAGACCATAAGGCCGAGGAGGATGAAGAGGACTCATGGTTGGACAAGGAGGTGGGAGGGAGGCATGGCAGTCAGGTCTGAATAGGAGACCTCTGAGACAGGAAAGGTATCACTGGACTTACAGACATCAGTGCACGTGGAATGGCTTTGGGTGGTGGGCTCACTGAAGCTGAAGGGAAGTGCTGTGTCGGTCACGGGACAGTGGGAGAGGGAGTGGGCTGCAGCCAGCACACAGGTAATCGAGCAGCCTGAGACTCATAATTTCATGGCCCCAGTCCTATCAGATGTGTGGATTTTTCTCATTACGTGGTCCTCAGCTGCTGAGCATGGAAGTGGAATGAGGTAGAAAGACTGTTTAACCGAAAAGTCTACTGATGGGGCTCAGAGACGGCATGAGGAAAAGGCAATGACCATGACAGACAGGTCCCTGCCCTCAGGGACCATTCCACAATGTAGTCGAGGAAACAGACACACGTTAGCAAGTGCACTGCAGCTGAGCACGAGCCCCAAGAGAAGGAAGGCAGCACGAGCGCCTGGGCGAGGCCCCTGGAACCAGCCTGTTAGCTTCAGGGAGCAGAATGGAGGTGAGGACGGGGAGAGGGCTAAGAGGAAGTGGTAGAAGTTGTCAGAGGTGGACCTGGGGGCACTGAAGCCTCGAGATTATGTGGGCACAGAGCAAGAGTCAGGTTTGGAGGCTTGCTTCGGGATGGGAGGGCATATGGGCGGGTTGGCCCAGACAAGTGCCATGGGGAGAAAGCGTGGCCATGTAAATCCTGCCCCTCTCCTGAAGCATGCTCCACTCAAACTTCTCTGTTCGCCCCAACTCCACCCAAACACAGCCTCTCCCCTCTCTTCACCTCTGAGTCATGCTGCCTCATTGTCCTGATCTGTCAACTTACAAATGTTCCAGGGCCGTGTCCTTGACTTCTCTATCTACTTACCAGGTGCTCTCATCTAGCTTCATGGCTCTAACCCATCTCTCTATTCCAATATTCAGTTGCTAGCCAGGCTCCTGTATCCTGCTGCCTGCTCACCATCTCCACCAGCAAGTTGCAAGGGGGGCTTTTCTGAGAGGAATCTCAGATTCAACATGTCCCAAACTGAGCTCTCCACCTTCACTCCTAACGTGTTCCTCCCCAATCCTCACCATCTCAGTCAATGGCAGTTTTAACCTTCTAGTTGTTCAGGCCCTAAACCTCAGAAGTGTCTTTGAGCCCTCTCATTGTCTCACATCCACATCTACATCAACAAGTTGTATCTCCTTTTTCTTTAAAATCTTTAACCCCTGAAAATCCCTTAAATAGCTCATAATGTGCATGTACTTGATTCTGTGTCTATGGGCCTGTGTAATAATGTATTTGTAATATTTACAGAAATGTGCTACCTATTAAAAAAATACACGTGCAAAATATAACTCCAGTATTTTCACTTCTCCATGCGAGACAGAGGAATGAGGGGTAGATGGGCATCTATGGCAGAGTTGGTTTGAATGAACCATATGTGTATCCTGCAGAGCCACAATACTTAAAGGTCCTGTGGAACTTCATCCAGCAAAATTGTGCTACAGAAAAGGGACCACAGGCCCTTTAAAAAATACAATGTCCATCCTGTAGGATTCACTGGGCAGTTAGATCAGGAAGAGGGCCATCAGATCCGGTTATCTGCTTGTGTCCAGGGAGGAAGAGAGGGTGATGGGGAACAGGGGGCTTTGAGTCCAAGAGGAGTGATTCTCACCTACTCTGACTGGCTCCTTGGGACCAGGTGAGGCTTCAAGCTCTGAGGAAGAACCTCCATCCCCAGAGGAGAAAGAGAACCAGGCCCCAAAACGGGCTGGCCCACATCTGCGCTTCGAGATCAGCAGTGAAGATGGGTTCAGCGTGGAGGCAGAGAGCTTGGAAGGTGAGTCAGGAGTAGCAATCAGAGGAAGAGAAGGTGTCCAAGAGAACACCTTCCTGAGTGCTCTGGCCCAACCTCTTCTTAGGAGCATGGAGAACTCTGATTGAGAAGGTGCAAGAGGCCCGAGGGCATGCCCGGCTCAGACATCTCTCCTTTAGTGGTAAGTGGGGGGTCCACAGGGGTGCTGGGAACTAGGATGATTCCCCAAGGACAAGATGGACCTCCAACATCATTTGGGTGTCTTCCCCTCTGACTGCCCAGGAATGAGTGGGGCAAGGCTCCTGGGCATTCACCACGACGCTGTCATCTTCCTGGCAGAGCAGCTGCCTGGGGCCCAGCGCTGCCAGCACTATAAGTTCCGCTATCACCAGCAGGGAGAGGGCCAGGAGGAACCGCCTCTGAATCCTCATGGGGCGGCCCGTGCTGAAGTCTATCTCCGGTGAGAGGTCTGGGTGTTGTGCCTGGGTCAGGGCAGCATGTTGGAGTTCCCAAGGGTGGGAATTAATTAATCTGCACAGATTAGAAACTGAGGCTGGGGAAAAGACACTAGGCCACTCCAGGAATTCTTATAGAGTTCACATCGGAAGAATGAATCCCATCCTTTCCCCTTTTGCTGTGTCTTCAGGAGACGCAGTATTCCTTCTACCCTGCCAGCAGCAGCCCAGGCCAAAGAATAGGTAGGTAGGTAATATCTCCTTGAAGGAATGGCTGAGCCTCCCTCCTCTCCTCCCTGCTGTCTGCAGGAAGTGCACCTTTGACATGTTCAACTTCCTGGCCTCCCAGCACCGGGTGCTCCCTGAGGGAGCCACCTGTGATGAGGAAGAGGACGAGGTGCAGCTCAGGTCAACCAGGTGTGGAGGGCAGGCCAGGGTGCTGGGGCTGGTCTGGAAGGGTCCTAAAGGTGACCAACTCTTGTGACACTGCTGTCCCTCCCCAGACGTGCCACCAGCCTAGAGCTGCCCATGGCCATGCGTTTTCGCCACCTCAAGAAGACGTCCAAAGAGGCTGTGGGTGTCTACAGGTTAGTGGGGTCGGGGGGAGGATGCCCCTTGGGTGGATGGACAGACACACTGGTGTGGGACAGCTCTTTCGGTTCTGTTCCCCGGCCCCCTCAGCTCCCCCTTGCCCATCCTACCTTGCAGATCTGCCATCCATGGGCGGGGCCTGTTCTGTAAGCGCAACATCGATGCGGGCGAGATGGTCATTGAATACTCTGGTATTGTCATTCGCTCTGTGCTGACTGACAAGCGGGAGAAGTTCTACGATGGGAAGGTGGGCTCCACCAGGCCATGGGAATGAGGTGGGTGAAGAGGGGCTGATCTTTGGGAACAGAGCACCTGACGGCCCCCACCATGTCCCTATAGGGCATTGGGTGCTACATGTTCCGCATGGATGACTTCGACGTAGTGGATGCCACCATGCATGGCAATGCTGCCCGCTTCATCAACCACTCATGTGAGCCCAACTGCTTCTCTCGAGTCATTCACGTGGAGGGCCAGAAGCACATAGTTATCTTTGCCCTGCGCCGCATCCTGCGTGGTGAGGAGCTCACTTATGACTACAAGTTCCCAATTGAGGATGCCAGCAACAAGCTGCCCTGCAACTGTGGCGCCAAGCGCTGCCGGCGGTTTCTTAACTGAAGCTGTGGCTGCCCACCATACCCGTCCCCGCTGCCATCTTGCCCCTTGCTCCCTAGTCCTTCCTAGAGTATCTCACCCCCACCCTCATGTTCAGGGTGGATGTGGGCATGCAGGTGACAAGGGCCCTGCATCCATCCCTCCAGCCCACCCAGCAATCGCCCCTTCCTGTCCTGGGGGCCCTGGATGTAGATATTGTACAAAAGTTTCTAAATCCCTTCTTTTCTATGCACTTTTTTATTTAAGAGGGTGGGATCCCAGGTGGGAACCTCCCCACAATAAAGTCTGTCAATGTTTGGAGAGGTGGTCTTGCCGTTTGTGTCGTGCTGGGGCAGGTAAGAGCTCCCGTTTTTCCATGCCAAGGAAGCCTGTCAGCATCTGTAGGTAGGTACAGCCATTGTTGGACTTCAGAGTGACACATGTTCTACATATTCTAGATTAGAATGCAGCTGGGTCCCTGTGGGTGAGCTGTCCCGAGGGTAGCAAGGCCGTTTCTCAGAGGGTCCCTGTTTGCCCAGAGGCACCTAAGGTCAGCTCTCCCACATCTGGTCTTCTGTGTGTGGTACAAGAGGCCCTTCTCTTGTGGGAGGAGAATGAAGGGAATGTTGGGTCTTGGCCCAATTCAGACTATATTTCAAGAGGTCCCATAAATGAGGCCCAGAGAGGGCAGGAATTTACTTCAAGGGAAGCTTTCTTAGTACCAGGCAAGCAAGCCGCAGACCAGCCAAGCTTGAGTAGCACCTGCAGTGTATCAGCCCACCCTCGCAGGGCCAGCTGTGTGCGAAGCTGGCCCAGAAAGGCAGAGGACTCCCTTGCCACTACCATCTTGATCAGGGCCTGCAGAGGTGAGTGAATGAGTTGTAGTGAGTAGGCGAAGGTGGACGAAGGAGCCAGGTGTCAAGTGGTGCCACAGCTGGCCCAGGCTCAGGGTCCAGAAGTACAATCAGCACCTCCAGCTCATCCAGGAGAAAAGGTGGGCTGCAGGGCCAGACTCGGCAGCTCTGGAAGACAAGATGGAGGGGTGGGAAGGAGGAATAGTGTGCTTACAGTCCACCTTCCCCTTGCTTGGTGTGTCCCCTACCAATCCTTGCCCAGGAGAGAAAGGAGAGAGACTTCCTGTGAGTCCCTTGCCTCGAGGGAGCCTGGAGAGGGTAAGTGGGACAAGAAGTCATGTGTTTTGGGGTCACTGCAAACCAAGCCAGGATAGGGGTGAAGGGACGGCTTTCTCCTGCTGGTTGTGGTGCCCCTGTGGGGCGAGCAGGAGGATCGCTCCTAAGGTCAGGAGCAGAACCAGCACACCACTAGCAGGGCAAAACTCAGCATGACAGAACTCCGTGAAGCCTGCTGACGGATGTCAAGCACGTATGTCCACGGGAAACTGGAGAAACGGGAAACCGTCAGTGAAATGGGCTTCTGGGGGCTAAGTAAGGATGCTCGGTTTTCCAGATGTCAGGAGGCAGGTCTCCTTGGTCTTCTGAGACCGACTTCTGGAAATAAGAGGTTGGAGTAAAGCACCTCAGCCCAAACCTCCCATCCTATACCCCTCAATGGGGCCACAGTGCCACCTGATCTAGCCCCCAGACCGAAGTGCGACTACTTTTAACTTAGGCAGGTCACCTCCTGACACTACTTTGCCCCCACCCCTATCCTCTTCAGTGGGGCCACACTCTTTCCCTTGATCCAGACCTCGCCAATCCTATCCCAAACCACGCACTCCAACCTCCGCCCCACCTCCTGCAAGCGGCACCCTTGCCCAGGCCCTCCAGAGCCCGACCAGCACCTCTGCAGAGCCACCGGGTTCCGTCGCAGCTCCCCGCGGGAGTGGGAGTCGTGGCTCCACCGCCACAGGGGCTACATAATTCCGCATTATTGGGGTTGCACTGCCCAGGAAGTCATTCACTGAAGGAGGTATGTTATGTGATCGCCAAAGTCATTGAGCCCACAATTTTCTGAAAACTCAAATCTAATTGGAAACAGGGTTTCAGGTATAACCGCCAGGCCCCACCTCATCTGCGCTGGAGACGCCCCCTTTCTCCTTTGCCCTATCCCGGTAGGCTCCTCCCCTTGCACTCTACTCACCCAGCCTATCAGCGGACGTGCCCGCCCCTCTACCCCGCACTAGCTCCGCCGGGCTCCGAACCCTCTCTCTGCACAGGCCCCGCTCCTCATTGCCCTCCCGCCTCGGCACGGAGCTCCGCCCACACACGGCCTTAACCACAGCCCATCCCTTCCTCACCGCCCCGATCTCGCCCAACCGTCCACACCCCTTCGCCGTGGCCCTAGTGTCCAACCCACACTATTCCCTTCTTCACTGGCTCAGACCCCCAATCCGTCTTACCTGCGTAAGGCTCACCGCTCCTACCCGCGAAGCAAGCCTCACGGGCCATACCCTACAGACCTCGCCCCTTCCCCCGGTTCCCTATCACCCCCCTAGCTCTGCTCGAACGTAAGCATACTCCCTGTCCTTGCTCCTCACCCGGGCAGGGGGCGGCCCGAAACGCTGCAGGCAGCTGCCACAGCACTGGTGTCAGGGTTCCTGTACTCGAGGTGGCCGCAGGGCAGGGAGGCCTCCAGCTGAGCCGGAGCAGTGCCGCAGTCGGGAAGAGGCTGAGGGGCCCATCCAGGCGGGGCTTGCGGCCTGGGGGGCCGTAACCGCAGGACTTCCGGCCACAGCGCCTCTGCCGCACTTTCCAGGAAACCGGGGCAGAAGAAGAAAGCAGTGGGTGTACAGGCATGAGATCCCCCACGCTCCTTCAGAAGGCGGGAATCTACCTCCAGCCCTTAGTCCAGCTTCTGGCCCATTACCAGAGAGGCCACAAGACCTCAAGATGGCTAGAATGAGGACTCAGGGGCCAGAATGCGTGGATTCATATCCCACCCCTTCCATCTTCCTACTGTCTTTTTTCCCCATCCCTAAAACTGGATTGTAGTAGCACCTGTTTCAAAGTTTACTGTCAAGAGTTAAAACTGTTACTAGAAGTGCTTACTTAGAACGGCACCTGGCTTAGGTAAGCTTATTAGGTATTACCGATTCCCATTTCAAAACAGCGGGCATGAACGACCCAGCCCTCACCCACTGGAGACTCCCACTCAACTCCCAACAAACTTACCTTAACTCCTAACCCCAATCTTCTCCGGGCTGGGAATGCTCCAACCTGCTACAGCCAGGCGTCTCTCCCTTGAGAAGCCTCAGATGGATATACTGAAGTTCCCAGCATAAAGGCGACCCCACCCCAACTAGTCCCACTTAGGGTTTTCTAGGGCCTTGGGCCCTGAGCCCACTGCTTTCCCACCTGTTATTCGAAGTTCCTCAGCTGAGGTTATAACCAAAGCCTAGCCCCACTTCCCCTTTTCATCAGGAGATGCGGGGATGGAAGGAAACTCCAGCCGATAGCTGGGCTCAAGCTAACAATGAAGCTCTAAACCCTCAATACAGAACTTTATTAGGGGAGGGGCAGTAGAAGAAGGTCCCTGTGTTGACCGGATTACATTATGGAGCCCCACAACCTGGGGAAGATGGTGCTGGGGAGTTAAGGAAGCGTTGAGGAGGGATTCTGGCCAGGAACATCCATCCCTGTCAGAGATGAAGGGCAAGGGAGCCAGGGTCTCAGAAGCGGCCATGCCGGTGGTCTGGGGAACGTCGTCGGTTTCTTTCTCGGGGACGGTGGCCAATATGGGGTCTCGGGGGTGACCTGGCAACAGGAGTGGCAAGAGAAGGTTTAGAGCCATGGGAAGTGGTGTGAAGATCCCCCGGGTCTGTCTCTGTGCTCTGGGATGGGGCAGGGTAGGTTATGAAGTAACTGGAATTCCTGAGGATGGTCTCCAGATAGGTGCTCAGGGGCTGATATCAGGATTAGAGATCCAGGCTAGTCTTGGATTTGAGTTTGGGGTTCCAGCTGATTTTGGGGTTGGGACTTAGGTGCTGGTGTTAGGATGGGGCCCTGAGCTGGTTTTAGGGTACAAAACGCTTGAGACCCTGTTATCAGGCAATAAGCTCAGGTTCATTTGGTATAGCAGCCGCAGGGCATGAAAAGTCTTGGTAGTCTGGTCCTGCAGTACCTGCGCCTGGGTCCCCGACCATAGAGCTGCCGCCGGAGGTTCCGGGAGATGGGTCGCAGATGCATGAAGTTGCAGAAGCCACCACGGGTACATTCCCTGGGTAGAGGATGCACAGATGGAAGAGACCATCGCCAGTGACAGCCTCCCCAGCACATAGGAGTCTGGGACTCCAGGTGCCCATCCCACCCTTGTACTATCATACCCCATCTCATACTGCCGACAGCATGACTCCCGGAAGTCAGTGACAGGAGACAGCTCTGCATGCACAGCCTGCCCGTTGAACCAGCGGTTGTTGAGTTCAGCCACTGCCCGCTCTGCATCCTCCTCTCTCCGAAACTAGGGGAAAGTCAGTCAGGGTCAGCAAGCAAACTCAAAAATCTTCAGATTTGTCAAGCAGTTCTGGGGCTGGACTGTATCTGATTTAGTGATGGACCTCCAGCTGTGAGGCTTCAGTGGTGGACATTAGACATTAAAATGCCTCCACCTGTGGGCTCTAATGGGCGAATAGCAAGCACCTTGACATAGACATTGCCCACGAGGTGGTCCCCCAGGTTGTCGCACACATTCATCTCTTCAATCTCCCCGTACTTCTCCTGCAGTTCCGTAAACACTTCCTGCAGAAAACCAGGAGGAATTCAGCTGAGTTCCTGACCCACAGGAAACCCAACCCACCCCTGCCAACACTCACCTCGAAGAAGTTGTCATAGTGTTCTTGCACCTCCACGTCGCTCACGTGACCTAGAGGAGGGAGCAGGGTGGAATCAGAAGGTAGTCTGCTGGGGACTGTCCGCCCTGCCCCCAAGACCCATCCCAAACTCACAGTGAGATCCGTCTGCGGTTTGGGCGGTGTTCTGTGGATTCCGGTACAGGTTGAGCAGCACTATGGTCTGAACAGAATTTAAGAGGGGCGGGGCCTGAGCTCAGAGGGCGGGGCTACATGCAAAAAAGTTGGGTACGAATGTTGTGGGTGGGACCTTGCACCAAAGAAGCCTAAGCACACGGAGCGTGTCAGGGATGTTTGCCCCTAATGAAACCTGAAAAGGGGACAACTTAGCACTGAGGGGCAGCCCAAGGGTGTTGTCTGTACGTACGGGAGCGTGGCCAAACTCCTGGAGGTTGGGGGAGGAACCTGCAGAGGTCCAACAAGAAAAATGCTGGGCGGTAGGGTGGGCCTTAGAAATCCGGAAAAGGCGGGACCTCTCTATGATGGACAACAGAAGGAGAATGGCCGGGAGGCGTTAACCCTGCTAGGCTCCGTGCTGGATCTCACCTGGCTGAAAGTCGGCTTGTTGTGAAGCCGGGAGCACCGGTCCCCGTGCCGGCAGGCCCCGATCTTAAAGTAAAAAGAGCAGTTAACCCTGGAAGAGGTGCAAAGACAGAGGTGAACCGAGGGCCGGGGAGGCCGGACACCCCAGAAACACCGCCCCATGCCGCCCAGCCACCGGGAAACCAAATGCCCTGGCCCCGGTCCCCCAATGGCCACTCCCTGCGCCCGTTCTCACTTGTCCTTCTCAGTCCCGAATATCGAGGCTAAATATTCAGCCATTTTTACCCGAACCCTCCAACTCTGTCTGCTCTTTGCGTCACTTCCGTTGCATAAGACCCTGGGAAGTGTAGTTTGTCGCCTACCCCCGCACGCTTACTGCGCGCTCAGAAACTCGCGAATGCGCTTGCGTATTGGAGGCCAGCGCCCTACCCCCAAGGACTCACCGGCTGGAGTTCCCTGAACGCGCATGCGTGCAGCAGTGCCTCACCAAAAAAGACTACGAATTCCAGAGATACTTGCGGCATCTTGCGCGAACGGCCATAGTTGAAAGTGGCAAAGGCGTCCAAGCCGGAGGAAGTAGACTCCGCTGGTAAGTTGGAGGTCGTTTCGTGCATCCCAATAAATATAAGGAGCGTCCCAACTCATCAGTCAGCTTGCTGGTGGGAACAGGAGTGCCCTTTCTTCAGCAAACCCACCTTTCAGTTTATCTCCGTTTTGTCGTAATAGGGGCGTGGTTGATCGCGATTCTTGCATCTGTCCCTAAGGGTCAAGGCTTGGGTCTTGCCGTGCAGACCCTCGGAACGACCCTGCCCCAGCGCAGCTATGAACTTGGAGAGGATATCCAACGAGGAAAAGTTGAACCTGTGCCGAAAGTACTATCTGGGTAAGGGCCGGTCTCCTGGCGTCCCAGGAGAAGAGGGGACGACTAGAATGCCTGAGAGAAGAGGGTCAGGGGGCCTGGATTCTCGGGTCTATGGGATAAAGCGACTGGGGACTCGGACTCCTGGGTCTGAGGGGAGGGCGAGGGTCCTGAAGAAGGAGTCGTCTGGGGCCTCAACTTCTTGGTCTCAAGAGAGGAGGGGAGTTGCGGGGCTGGCCTCCTGGGGCCTGAGGAAGAGATGGTCGAAGGATCAGATTCTCGGATTCCAGGGAGGATTTCTGAGACCCTAAGAGCAGAGATCTCCATTTGAACTTGGGTATGGAAGAGGGCCTTCCAAATAAAAATAAATCCTCTAGGTGAGGGTTGAGAAAATCTTCATTGCCTTGTATTCGTGTGCGTGCGTGCGTGCGTGTGTGTGTGTGTGTGTGTGTGTGTGTGTGTGTGTGTTTCTCTCTCTCTCCAGGTGGGTTTGCTTTCCTGCCTTTTCTCTGGTTGGTCAACATCTTCTGGTTCTTCCGAGAGGCCTTCCTTGTCCCAGCATACACAGAGCAGAGCCAAATCAAAGGCTGTGAGTCCAGGGTACACATGAAGGGGAGGCCATCGGGTGTGTGGGGGAGGTGAATCAGGGACCCTTGGTGGGAGGGGATGATGGAGGTTCCAGAATTCTGGGGCTTTGTGGAAGAGAAGATAGGGCTAGTCTAGGGGATGCCGAAGAGCAGGTAAGGCCAACTGTCCCCACTCCTGTTCCTTCCAACAGATGTCTGGCGTTCAGCTGTGGGCTTCCTCTTCTGGGTGATTATACTCACCACCTGGATCACCATCTTCCAGATCTACCGGCCCCGTTGGGGCGCCCTTGGGGACTACCTCTCCTTCACCATACCCCTGGGTACCCCCTGACAGCTCCCTCTGCGCAGGCTTGGGACCTGCTCATTCTTCGAGAATGGGCTCATCTACACCAAGCCCACTCTTCAAACCCCTAAAACTTGTTTTGATCTCCTATGTTCTCTGCTGACATCTCCCAATAAAGGACCCTAATTCCCTATATTGATGTCCTGGAATCTTTTGGAGGTTGCAGCATAAAATGATATTTACTATTCAGGAACATTTATTGAGTGCTGCACACATCATGTGCTTTTTTTTTTTTTTTCCCCACAAAATACTACTCATAATCCTCTGATATAGGGACTTTCCTGCTTAGGAACCATATTTTTTACAGATATGGAACCAAGAAAGGACTAATGCTTCCATTAGGAGGGGCTGCTGTTCTGTACTGATAGTGTGTGGATTTGAAAAGAGTACCTTCCCACTCAGCTTCCATATTCTCATCAGAAGTATGGATCATAATGTTACCTCCTAAAATTTATCTGAGCCAACACACATGTGATAAATGGAAGTTTCCCATTCTTTGAAGGAGATGTCTGCAACAGTAAACATATTCAAGAGCTTTACCAAAGAAGACTTCCTTGACCATCCTATTTAGCGTTTCAATCCTCCCTTTGGTACTCCCTATGTCTCTTTCAGCCTATATTCTCTCATCTATTACATTTCATTTAAAATAGTTTTGCTTATTGTTCATCTTACAGACTGTAAAATGTTAGTTCTGTTAGGGCAAGGGTTGTCTCTTTTGTTATCTGCAGTGTCCCTGAATGCCAGAAGAGTGCCTGGCACACTAGTATTTGCTAAATGAATGAGGTTGTACCTGAAAAGACAGTAACAGGTAGCTGACACGTAACGAGTGCTCAGTAAGAGGGAACCCAGCCTGACTCCAGATTTGCCTTCCTTCTGGGGACAAGAGGGACTCCCACGGTTAAATAAATACGGTCAATAGCTAAATTGCTGCTCCTTAAATCTAACACTACAAGATCCAAGAAGCCTGGCGAAGTTTAGATCCTACACCTCCCACCATACCTCGCGCGGCGCAGGCGCCGTTATTCTGGCTAAGTCTGGGGAGCTGGAACTACTCCTCCCAGGAAGCGCCCGGGGATGTTGTTGGTTTGTTTCAGGAAACGGGCCCCTGCTCCCCCAGAAAGGTGGGACTTACAGTTGGGAGCCGACCGCGACGGCTGTCAATTGGTCAGAGTTTGAGGTCGACGGTTGCACTGACTAATGGGGACAAGCAACTGTGAAAGGAGCCCGCCCACAAAAAGGAAACTAGAGAAGGTGGCGGCAGTCTCGGCTGTCGCGGCCGGACACAGCTCAGAGCGTAGGATTGGCAACACACGAAGCTTACCTTTGACCTCTCCCCGTCTGCCTCCGGCCTTGACTTGTGACCCTAGACCTTTTGGGGCTCCTCTGACCCAGCTAGCCAGAGCCCAGACCCAAAGCATGTTCCCGGTGAAGGTGAAAGTGGAGAAATCAGGTGAGGACCCCGAGGTCGGGGGCCTACGGGAGTACCGATGCATCAGGGTATGGGAGTCCGGGTAGACAGGATTATCGCGATAACACGGAGTACGCAACTTCTCCCTGCAGCCCGCCTTACTGTGGCTGTCAGGCATCGAGCGATTCCTGCCACCGTAATACCCTCCCGGTTTGTGCTCAAGATACCTCTGAGAGCGAATGGGTGGCTCAGGCAGTGTGGTGCGGTAAGGCGTTGGGATCCCGAGCCGTATGACTCTGAGGACTCTTTCTTTGGCTCTGCCTTAGTTTCCCCTTTTCCACCAATGGTCATGAGTCAAGCTTTGTGCCGAGCGCCTGAAGTACAGGGAAGCTTTTAATCCTGCTGTCACTGTCTCCCAGTAATCCTAGAAAGTAGGAGATACGATGATAGATGGGGAAACGGAAGCTGAGAGAGGGGAAATCATGTGGGATTGGGACTGAGCTGATGGGAACCCAGGACTGGCATGTTAAGGGTGGTGGGAGAGGCACAGAATCCAAACCAAAAAAGTAATAGTAAAATGTTGTAGGATGTTAGATGGTATAAGTGGTAAGGAAACGAAACAGGAGAAGGAAAGAAGATCAGGGGAAGGAGAAAGCTGTGAGGATATGTGAGGGAACAGCAAATCAGACAAAGGAAATCACCTTGAAAAGGCCCCGAGATGGAAGCCTTGTCTGGTTTGGAGGCCAGCATGCAGAGTGAGTGAGGTAGAGGATGTAAGGAGATGAAGGCCAAGAGGAGGAGAATGGAAACAGATCTTGTGAGCCCAGACTTTCTTATTAGGACTTTGGCTTTTGTTCTGAGGGAAATGGGGAGCCAAGGGAAGGTTTTGAACCTAGGAGTGAGTTGATAAAAGTGCCCCCAGAAAGATCTTGGGTAGAAAAGTGAGGGGTGCCTGAGCACAAATGATGGTGGGAGGAAGGGGTAGGCAGGGTCTTGGAGGCCTGTGAACACCAGGTGGAAAAGCTCAGACTCTGTCCTGGCACTGTAGAATCATGGGGGCTTCTTAACGGGAGGATCAGGGTCAGGTTTGGTTTGAGGAAGATTCCTCAAGCCACTTTGTAGAGGGTGGATCAGAAGGAGAGACTGAGGCTGGGAGCCCAGGGGGAGGAAGAGAAAGGACCAGAGTTAGGGATGAAGAAGAGGTAGGTGGGAGAGAGACTTTTGAGGTCAAGTGGACAGGCCATGGGGTTGGTGGGCTGGGGTGGTAGAGGGAGAGAGGTGTCCATGTTCAGATTCAGAGAAGGACTGGGAGATGGTGGGGCTACCCATGAGATGGGGGCCCAGAAAAAAGGGTAAGTTTAGATACACACAGGCCACTGTGGGACCCAGGGGATCGAAGGAGCCTTGGAGATGTTCAGAAGGAGGCGTCCAGGAGCCCATGGGATCCCAAGGTCTGAGGTTCGGGAGAAGCAGGAGCTAGAGAAAGAGATGTGGCCATAATGCATACCTTGGCTCCTACCAAGGCTCTTCGCTAGAATCTGAGCTGTCCTAACTCCTCTCCCACCTACCCCACACACACCTATCTCTCTCCTCTGAGTGATGTCAGGAATCCCTGTGTCTCCTGGGCTCCTCAGCAAGTCCCGGGGCTGGCAAAGCATGTCCCCATGTGTCTTTCCAGGCTCTGAGCACTGCGCCTCTAGAGCTCTTATAAGTTTTAAGAGGAATGTAAACAACCAACAAGAGTGGGAGGAGAATATTTTTATAACATCATCACCCCCTTAAGTTCTGTGATGAAGGGGGGCAAACACACAGGCTGATAGGGCAGAAAGGTGGGTCTAGATGTCATTTCCTAGAAGAAAGAAGCCACAAATTTGTATTTCAGATGAAATCTCCCAACTATTAAAAGTCAGCCCATTTAGATTTAATTCAGACTTAAAATAACACCACTGTCTCCGCCACACAAAGATCTGGGGACTAGATTCTGAACCCAGTTTGAGATTCTGTCTTACAATTTCAGCTGCAGAGCCAGATGGCCTGGGTGCAAACCCTCAGCCTTGCAATTTCTAACTGTATTACTTGGGCAAGTAGCTAACATTTCTGTGCCTGTTTCATCATCTATAACATGGGGATAAGAATCATATTTACCTACCAGCAGTATTACAAGAATTCAATGATTTAATATATGTGATGTGCTTGGAACAATGCTTGGCACATAATAGCACTCTGTGTGTGTCACTTACTATCATTGAATCCTGCTAAGAGATTGATGTGCAACATAGGTCTATTTAAATCTCAAAACAGTCCTAGCACCCCATTTTCAAGATGAACATCATGCTCAATATAATGAGGGGACTTGCCTTAGGTCACACATGAGCAGGTGGGACAGTCCTGAAACCCAGAGCTCATGCTCATCACTTCAGTCGTCTCTGTCCACTGTACCCTCTCAGCATACGTGGGCCTGACATTACAATTGAACACCATGCCCTTCCCTGACCTAGCTGGCTGCCCATTAGTCTGGGAACTGACTCCTGCTCGGTACTCTCTTCCGCAGAGTTGGAGATGGCCAAGGCCCGGAACCAACTGGACGCCGTCCTGCAGTGTTTGCTGGAGAAGAGTCACATGGACAGGTTGGGACCTGGCCCATCATGGGGTCATAGGGAGTTGGGAGCCCTGGCAGGTTGGACCTTCTGGTCCTGGGTGGATGTGGGTAGACCTCAGAGGCTGGCTTAAGGAAGAAGGGCCCCAATGGAGAGGCCACTCAATGCCTTCCCACTCTGGCCCCTGGGAACCCTGAGCCCTCAGTTCTCTTCTTCTACCAGGGAGCGTCTAGATGAAGAAACCGGGAAGACCCCCTCAGACACCCACAACAAGTAAGTTTTGTTGATGGGATTTGTATCTGAGGGTTTGTGGTGGGTAACTTCTTTCTTCCTTCAAGCCCCCAACCACTCTGCCCTGTGCTTCCTCCACCAGAGTCTACATGTACAAAGACCCTGGGGCAGTAGAAGCTTAGGTCCCCTCATGGTTGCACCTGGAGCCCCCAGGGAGTGGGTGGAACACAAGACCTTAGGTTAGTGGGGTCCACGTGAGCGTCTCAGTCTTGATCTCAGTATCCCCAGGGTGCTCTCTGGGTGGTTTGAGCAGGCATTGTTCAAGGGTCAGCCTGCTGACACCCTGTCTCTCCCCACAGGGATTGCTCCATCACGGCCACTGGCAAACGGTAAGGTGGCAGGGGCCCCAGCCAGCTGTCGAGAGGTCCCCAGTCCTCACCCCAGTCCCGACATTCTCCCTCCCTACACAGGCCATCTGCCCGCTTCCCTCACCAGCGGAGGAAGAAGAGGAGGGAGATGGATGACGGACTCGCTGAGGGAGGGCCACAGCGATCCAGTAAGTAGGCCATGGCCCTCAAGGGCGGGCAGTGATGGGGGCTGTGTGAGGATCGTCACATGCCTCCCATTCCCACCCTCCTAGACGCATACGTGATCAAGCTGTTTGACCGGAGTGTGGATTTGGCTCAGTTCAGTGAAAACACACCGCTGTACCCAATCTGCCGAGCCTGGATGCGCAACAGCCCCTTGGTCCGTGAACATGAACGCTCACCCAGCTCACCGCTACCCCCACTGCTTGAGGATGAGGAGGTGAGATGGATGGTGGGCCCTCACCCAGCAGCCAGGGAGGGCAGTGGATAAATTGTCATAAGGTACCTCATCCCCAGGCTAGTGGGATAAACAGGCACAGTTCTCTGGGTTCTCAAATAACTCCTGGATCTGGTGAAGCACATAGATATGAACACTTAGGCAGAGGGTATGGATGGAACTCCCTAGAGCAAGGAGACGTGGCTACCTCGTCTGGGAGGGAGAAAGGACAGGGTTTCCCTGGGCAGATGTGACCTCCAAGATCAGAGGTCCTCAAGAGCTAGAGAGGCAAACAGGTGTAGCCACCTGGCCTAGGGGAGCTGGTGGGAACCCCTTGAGCTGGGCAGGGGTAGGTGAGGATCTCTGGGCTGGGCAGGAGTGATTGGGGGTTCCTGGGTTAGACAGAAGACAGGGATCCCTGCCATAGTCAGACCTGACCCCCAAGCTGGGTAAGGTCCTCACCCTTCAGATATGACTCCTAAGGACGGTCCTTGGCGAGACCCTCATGTCCATTGTCACTGGGAAAGGCAGATGGGGTGGAATGTGTGCCCCTTGCCCTCTTTGACTCTCTCGGGCCTCATATGGGCCCTTGTGTCCAGGGTTCAGAGGTGACCAACAGCAAGTGTCGTGATGTATACAAGTTGCCTCCGCCCACAGCCCCTGGGCCAACTGGAGATGCCTGCAGATCCCGAATTCCATCCCCATTGCAGCCTGAGACCCAGGGTACCTCTGATGACGAGGTGGGTATGGAACACTGGCCTGGGACTCTGGGGCATAGGTTGTGGGGCTTGGGCAGGGCCACCCAGCCTCGCCTCTCTGACCGTGCAGCCCTCTGAGCCTGAGCCCTCACCCTCCACACTCATCTACCGCAACATGCAGCGCTGGAAACGCATCCGCCAGAGGTGAGCGTCTCCCAACCTGCTTGCCCCCTTCCGGCCACTGCCACAACCCTGAGTCCTCCTCTGCTTTCCCACCCTCACTGCAGGTGGAAGGAGGCATCTCATCGGAACCAGCTTCGTTACTCAGAAAGCATGAAGATCCTACGGGAGATGTATGAGCGACAGTGATATTCCATAGTCCCTCTATCCTAATAAACATTCCCCTCCACACTGGCCTCTCGTTGCTCCAAGCCCATCCTTCCCAGCCCTAGACATAAAGTAGTTGGCACAGCTCTAGCACATTTATTGGGGGAGTGGGCCTAGGTAGGAATGAGGGGATGGGACAACAGGTAGTTTAAGGAGTGAGAAAGATTGTGGGGAGTCAAAGAAAGTGGCTGCCTAGTTGGGGCTTGGAGAATAAGGACAGGGCTGTGGAAGGTAGATTGCCTGGGATATGTGGTTAGAGACTTGTGGCTCAAGACAAAGTGACTGGGGACTCCAGTTCCAGTTGGGGATGGGAGCCTAGGATATCTGTGCAGAGTCTGGGCAGATGGGGTGGGTGTCTGTACAGTTTGAGGTTGAGCGTCCTGGTTGGCCTGGAATAGGTGTTCAAGAGTAGGATTCAGAAGAGTCTTGGGGTGACTGGCTGGGATTTCAAGTCAGAAAATGGGTGGGGGTGGCAGGGAATAGAGTGTTTAGTTGGAATGAGAAAGATACAGTCTTGGGACCAGATCTGAATGGTCTGGCATGGGAGGTCTGTGCTGTCTGGGATATTTGAGGGGTGGGGGGATTATGCTTGACTGGTCTAAGGTGGCAGCAGGGCTGTCCATACCACAGTCTGATGTCAGAGTGGGGAGGGGATCAAATAGGATTTGGAGATGGTTTTATAGATGAGTAAGAAGAAATAAGTGTTTTCAGTGGGGTTATACGCCAATAAAATGGGGTCACCAGCTGTGGGAGACTAGGCTGAGGGAATGTGCTTGTAGGGTCTGGAAGCTAAAGAGGAGGTGGAGGAGGATTTGCAAGCTGAAGAGGGTGAGAGGGAGTGTCGGTGGAAAGCGGTAGGTTATCCAGGCTGAATCTAGATTGGAAGAGTCGGGACAGTATCCCAAATTGGATGAGCGGGTGGTCTTGGCGCGCTCATGACATCTGGCTGGGCGGAGTCAGGTCGGCTTTAAAAGGGGGCCTGCGGCATACCGCAGGTCAGGAGTGTCCAGACCTCTACTTGGCAGCAGCGGGCGGCAGTGGGGCCTGGGCCGGCGCAGATGCGGCCTGGATGGACAGGACGCCCTCAGGGGACAGCGCAGACGTCACAGCAGCAGGGTCCACGCCAGGGGGCAAGCGGTAGCGGCGGTGAAACTCGCGCGCGATGTATCCGTGCTCATCCTGGAGGGAGAGAAAAGCTTGAGCAGCCCCTCCCCTCCGACCTGCGGGTCCCGCCTACGCGTTCTGGCCCCGCCCCTGCAAGCCGGCTCACCGGGCGCTCCTCATGGCGCGCATGCACCTCAACGTGTTCGCCAACCACCTTGACGGTGATTTCCTCTGGTGAGAAGTGCTTCACATCCAGCAACACGGAGAATTGCCCTGGGTCTGTTGGCACCTGCACACACCCAGGTGGTCATCAAGGCCCCTCCCCTGCCTGTTCCTGTGCTGCAGCTTGACCCTGGCCTTCAGAACTGGAAAGTCTCCTTTCCTACTCGTAGCGGGTGAGGACCGCTTCACCCAGAATAACTGCGATCACCCGTCCCCCTGTAATCACGAGGATTCCCTTCTCACCCAGAGTAGTGAAGCCCCCTTCCCCTGCAAGATCAGGGACCTACGGTCCCACAAGCTAAGGCTCCCCTCTTACCCCCACCCCGTGTCAACGACTCTTAGCGTGTCTTCCTGGACACTGACTCCCTAGCCCCCTTCCTCTCAGGACCTCCCCTGCCAGAAATTGCGTGATGCCTTTTCCCCCAAGTCTCCAGAGTCTTCTTTCTACCCTCCCACTCGTATTATGGGACCGATTGCACCCTCAGCAGTTACTAGTACTCCTCCCCCACTTCTCAGAGTGGCCGGACCCCCTTTCTCAAGTCACAGGGCCCTTCCTCCCCTCTACCTCTCCGGGAGACAAAGGGTCACCACATGGAGTCGCCAAACTCTTCCCCAAGAATAACAAAACATTCCCAACCCCACCTCACCACCTGCCCCAGTCACTGGGAGTCTCCACGCCCTTTAGAAAGACTGGGCTCCCCCTTTGTCCCAGATTCCCTAGGCCACCAACCTCCTTCAGTCACCAAGACCCCTCAGAGTGACCGCCCCAACCCTGTAAGTGTCCCAGCTCTTACACTCCCCTCAGAACTGAGACCCTCCTCAGATCCACTGGGACCTTCCACCCCTTTCGGTAACCCGGCCTGAGATTCCGAACTTTGGAAGGCCCACGGAGCAGTGAAACTCCACCCCGCTCAAAATCCAGGGAGGCCGGGTTACCGCCCCTCCCGCAAGCCTGGCACCTGGGCGGCAGGCAGCGCCACGCTGGGTGCGCGCAGGTAGTAGGGGGCTAGGGTCGCGGGGCAGAGCGCAGCCAGCTCCGCTTCCAGCAGCCCCTCGCCGAAGCGTTGGTCGAAGAGGCGCCCAGGCGCCGAAAGGCCAGGCAGCGGGGCAGAGGCGCGGCGCAGCCAAGAGGGCTGCACAGGCACCGGGATCTCCATTCTGCTCCGCCGCAGCTGCCGCCACCGCCGCCCTAGGCACCGCAGTGACCCTGCGTGAGCCGCCGCCGCTTTATAGAATGCCCTGTGTCCGCCCCTCGGCGGGCCGCCCGGGGACACTGGGACCGCGGCCAGACCCGGCCATTAATAGAGCCTTATTTAGAAAACCCAACAATGACTTGGCCATTTATTAAGCGCCTGCTGGATGTCAGAGAAATGTCATTAAGGTCCTTCAATCTCCCGAAGGGGAAACTAAGGCTGAAGAGGCGAAGCCTGCTGGTGTGGGAAGCACAGCCCATCGTTTCGGATCCAGGGCCTGATTAGCCAGCCCACTGCAGAGTTCCCAGTCACTTAAATCCTCCCCCGCCCCGCAGGCAGTTCTGGGGATGACGCAGATGGCGGCCTTAGGAGCAGATTCCCGGGTATAGGGAATGCGGTAGCCGGGCCAGGCTGTCAGGACAGAAAACAGACCCTACTCCCTTCTCAGCCCAACCCCCCGACAGGACGGGCCTAATTTTGTGCATCTGACTCAGCCTCGGGTGCGCAGGGTAGCGGGGTCTGCCAGGTGAGCAATGGCCAGAGGGCGCGGACACGGACAGTCCAGGCTGGCTCCCCGAGGGCCGCGTGCCGGGGCCCGAAATAGCTCATTTTGATCCCGCCACCTCGGCCAGGAGCCCGGGCCTGGCACCTGGCGCAACCAGCTGCTCTTGCAGCAAGACGAAGTGGGTAGAATACCCGGAGGGCCAGGTTGGCTGTTCCCACTGAAGGAGGGACTGCAGTTAGAGAGGGGACAGACCCCCAGACTGCCCCAGCAACAGAAAAAACGATAGACTGGAGTCTGGACGTGATTTCTGCAGCAAGAGGGGGCGTGGCTAGAAGACGCTACCTCAGAAAATCGAGTGTAGTTTAGAACTCCTCCGGACCAGGAGTCCAGCCTCAGATCGTTTCCATTGGTCTACAGGCTTGCCAATTACTGCTGCACTCTAAGGTTCTCCAATCAAAAATGCTCTCTCATTCAGGTCAGCGTTACAGCCAGTTGTGACACATCTCCCTTTGGCCACTTTCCAATTACTTTTATTTTCCACTTTATCATTGGTCGCCTTGGACGCAGCTCTCTTCCCGCGCGGGTACTGCCCAAGGGGGACGGGGCTGATACGTCATTGCTAAGCGACAAAGATGCGCTCGGAGCCAGTCCGGTGAAGGAGCGGAGCAGACGGACGCATCGAGGTACCTGCGGCACGGGCCACAGGTGAGGCGGTTTCTCTTCCAGGGGAGCACAGGAAGCCTGGAGAGGACCAAGGGTGAAAGCAACACAGCCCAGGCTAAGGTTTGCTAGAATCCGAGTCTCTCAGTCTCAGCCCAACTGGAACTACAGTTCCCAAGATGCTCCACACACAGCCTTCGGCTGCTTCAACGTTGGACTTCACCATTCCGGGCGTCCCATAGCGTCTTACGTTTCTCTAAGTGGCCCCAAGGGCTTTTTTTCCTCTAGGTGTCCAGGGGCATCTTGGGAATCAAGTTTCTTAATTTCGAGATTGCCTCAGACTCCTATGCGTTTTCTTTTTTACCTCTCTTGCTTAGGCGAAGCCCAGTGACTGATGGGAATTGTAGTCCATCTACCCTTTTCTCCTAAGTGTACCAAGGACTTATGGGAAGTGTACGGTGATAGGGTTTAGTTGAGGTTCTTGACCCGTGCTCCACTTAAAAATCTCCTGGGACGCTGCGAAAAAGATACAGATGCTCATCCTCTCCCCCCACCCCCTACCTCCATTCCAGTTCTTTTGGTCTGGGGGTGAGGACGGTGCATCTGTATTTTTTAAAAGACTCCTAGACGGGATCCAGGGTTAAGAAGCACCAACTGCAGTTCCTGAGTTCGTCTCTTGAGACTGCTCCAAGAGCTGGTGGGAACTGTGCCTCCAGTATCATTATCTTGAATGTGCAGTGGTGCTTCATGGGAATTATGGTCTGTCTTTTCCAGGAATCCTTAAGAATCATCTCGTTCTGCCCTCCTCTTCCCATCCTCCCCACCTCCCACCCCTGACTCTACTTCCCACCCTGCCAGGGGTGCAGTGACCATGCTCTGCCTGGCAACTCCACTCTCCTCTTACAGCTTGCCAGTTTTCTCCATCCAAGATAGCCCCTATGGATGCTCCCCTGGGTTGAAGTTACTACTGGCCATCCCCCAGTCAGACCTGGCATCCCAAGGTGAAGACACAGAGAGTGCTTTGTGCCAGCCCAGTGACCAGGGAGTGACGACAAGAGGGAAGGAAGCTGTGTGATGAGAGATGAGGGTGAGCTATTAGGTGACATTCCCCTCCCCATGGCCCTGCTCTTATCCAGTCCTCTACCACCTGGATCCCCTATCACTCTGAGTTATTACCATTGTGGGATGTTTCCTCCTCTCTGGACTGAGACTTCATGTGGTTTGATTCCTCTAGGGGATTACTCCTCAAGGCCTCACATTTTCTTCTCCCATCCCCCCATCTTAGACCCTGAGCTCATCCAGGTCCCAGAGATCCAGGCTCCCAGAAGCTCCCAAGGCTTTGGATAAAGACCCCAACTCCTCTGAAGTGTCTGAGGAGTCCTGGCCATCCAGCTCAGGGACCTCTTCTCCACCCAGCACCACTGAGGGACAGATGGGAGCCTCCCCACCACCCACCCTGATTGACAGTGGGGACTCTGTAGTGGCCAAGTAAGTAACAGCAGCCCTGGGGGAAAGATGTGTTCAGGTCAGGGAAAGGGAGCAGGCATCTCATAAAAATCATCACAGCAAGAGCTGTTCGTGCAGCACTTTTAGGATCACATGTGTGTTATTAAGAGCTCTAGGGCTAGGCTGCTTGGGTTCAGATCCCAGCTCTGTCACTCTCTCTATGATCTTGGCCTCAGTTTCTTCAACTGTAAATTGGTGGTAGTAATAGCACATAACCCTTAGGATTGTTTTATACTTTCAATGAGTTACTGTGGTAAAGCATCTGTAACAATGCCTGTCAATAGTGAGAACTTGGGTTTGTAGGATACAAGTTCAGCTGCTGTAACAAAGAATCCCAAATTAATTGTGACTTAAACAAGATAGCCTTTATTCCTCCCTCAACTCTAACAGTCCCGGTGGAAGCAACCAGAGCTTATACAGCAGCCCCTAGGTGAGGTGTCAGAGATATAGTTTCCTTCTATCTTCTTGCTCTCCTATCCCTAGGCTGTTGCCATGTCCTTCATGGACCAAAATGGCTCCCAACTACATCCACTTTGTTGGTCAGGAACCTAGTTACATGACCATAAATCTACAAGAGCACCTGATAAATGTATCTATAGAGGAGTGGCTGTATGCCCAGTATTGTAAGTCTTATAATATGGCATTACTATATAAGAAAGGAGAACAGATTTTGAGGGACAACTACCAGGTGCTGCCATGGTGCTTAATAAACATGGGCTATTTTGATTATTATTACTAATATTATTTGGCTCTCATCCCACCCACCTCCAATTCTCTGATGCTCACAGGTATATAAACCGATTCCGTCAGGCTCAACCCACAAGCCGTGAAGAACGCCAGCCTGCAGGCCCAACCCCAGCTGACTTTTGGTGGCTTCGGCCTGACTCTCCAGACCCCAACAGTCCATTTGCAGCAGGTACTTGCCTCAGTCCCATCCACTCCCAGCCTAAAACGTTTCCTGATCGATGCCCCCAAAAGCCACTTCTTCTGGTCCCCTAATTCTGGTTTCTCAGCAGAAACCAGTAAACCAGAAGGAAGACCCAACAATGAAGTGCCAACTCTTGCCAAGGTTGTCAGTGCATCACAAGTTAAGGCTATGGCTCCCCTTCAGGAAATAAAGCAGGTGACATCCTCATCTATTCCCTTCCCTATGTGCCTGAACTGACAGCACCAGTCCTGGTAGAATTAGAATCAATCCCATTTCAAGGAAGTTTAAAGCAAAACTAGGAGGCTTGTTTACTAATGCAATCAAGAAATCCATAAGGTGATATTTTCAAGCATGGCTGGATTTAGGTGTTTGAACAGTATTGGAAGGAACTCAACTCACTTGTCTCTCTGTTCCTTTGTTGGGCTCAGTCTCAGGCAAGCTTTCCCCTTGAAGTAGCTAAGAAAGCCCCAATAGCTCTAGACTTCAAACTTACCATAGTTATTCCAGTGGAAAAAGGAGGTTTTTCTAATAGCTTCATCCAAGGCCCCAACACTTACTTTCATTCGCTTATCTTTAAGCCAGTCACTGTGAATCAGAGGACAGAGTGTTGTGATTAGCCAGACCTGGTCAGGAATGTAGTGTCAGCCCTTCTCCCACAATGATGACTGAACTGAGGGGTGTGGATCCATGAAGGAAAATTGAGTATATAAACCGGTTCTGCCAGGCTTAGCCTCCAAGCCGTGAGGAGTAAGAGCAGATTCTAAGCCAGCACATGAGGGTACCAGGTAGAGTACAGCCTTGTACTTCAGCTCTCTGTCCAGAGCCTCTTTCCCAGCAGCCTGTGGCATAGGCATTGGCCTATGACCCCTCTCACCTCACAGAGCCTCAACACATGGAACTCATCCCTGCTGGACCTGGAGACACTGAGTCTGCAAAGCAGAGCCGCCATGCTGCTGAAACGCAGGTGCCTCTCCTGCCCCCATCATCCAACCCACTCCTACAGCTCCAGGACCAGCTCACTGCCTCTGAGACCCCTGTTGCCTCACTTCTGCCTTTTCCCTACAGCAGGGCTTCTGTCTCATCCTCCTCCCTCAGCCTCAGCGGTACCAGCAGCTCCTCATTCCCTATCAGCTCTGATGACCTGTCTCCCTTCTCCATGACCTTCACCCCTGACTCCGGCCAGGGCTCTGACCACAAGGAGCACAGTAAGTTCTGGGAGGCAAGGACTCAGGACAGTCTTCATGTGAATCCCAACTCCGCCATTTACCAGCTGTGTGACCTGGGGCCTCTCTGGGCCTTTTCCCAAATTTTAAAACAAGGATAATAATTGTTCTCCTCTCCTGTGGGTATTGTGAAGATTTGATGAGCTGGTGAATACATGGAGCACTTAGCAGAGCTCTGTTAGCAGTAACATTAGTATGACATCCTGTCTGCATCCTCTCTGCATCCTGTCTGCAGTCTGCAAAGCTCCAAAATCAGAAGGCTTATTGCAAATTTGGCACCACTCCTGATATGATGGCAAAATCAGACCTAAAAAATATGAAGTCTACTTATAATCTCTATATATCTCACTTAGGGTGAATAGCCCTACTTTTTGCTATGGATATATTACATTGAACCATATGGAGCTTTTGTCTTTGTAAGTCAAAAATGTTTGAATATTGGCAATTTCATAATGTTCAACCAAATACCAATTATTTGAGTCTGATGTACTGACCTAGACCCTTGTCGTACATATGTGACTTTGCTAAAATATGCAAACTTTTGAATTCTCAAGTTTCTTCCCCCAAGATTTCAGAGCTGGGACAAAGGACCTGGGTTACTATTACTGTTATCATTATTGCTACTATTACTCTGTTCCCAGGTGTGGGATGCAATGGCACACAAATAGATGCTCTCCATGTCTCACAGGGCTCCCATGAGTGAGGATAGGCAAGAACAATAAACAGAGGGGAGTTCTCACATGTTGTGTGATCCTACCCAAGCACTTGCCTGATTCTTCTCTCCTAGGCTTCATGTTTTTTTCACCTTGCCTTCCTGAGCTTCAGTTTTCTCATCCATAAAGTGGGGATAAAACTAATACCTACTTTATGAATTGTTTTGCAAATTAAATTTATTCATTCCTTCATTTAACAAACATTGAATACCTTTTGTGTATGAGGCCCCATAAGTGGGACTACGGATTCCAGTGAATCAACCCATCCATGATCCCACCTTCATGGTCCTCACAGCATAGTCAAAGTGGGGCAGAGAATAGCTACATAACCCCACGTGTAAATGTGAAATGTAAACAGAAATGAGGGCCATGCAGGAGAGGATTGTGAAACTGGGAATTCAGAGAAGGCCTTCCTGGGAGAGATGCTTTCAAAGTGGAGACCTGAATGATGAAGGTAGGGACAGTAGCCCTCTGGCATCTATAAGGGACCTGAGGTGGGGAGAGCTTGGTGCAGACAGTAGACTAGAAAAGGCAAGAGCCAGGGGTGAGAATAATGTGGTACCAGGTGGGGGAGATTGTCAGGACTCAAATTACATTGAGCCATGTAGGTATGTGAAGCACTTGGTCATTATCTTAGGACTGGGGAGCCCTGGGGGAGTTTGTTCTTAGCAAGGAGGGAATGTGAACTTTCTTGGGTGTTAACAGATTCCTTCTGGCTGCCATCAACCCCCAGTGAGAGATGCTGGTAGCTTGACTTGTCTCAGTCTGAGGAGCAAAGAAGAGGGAAATGGCCAGGTTTGGAAATAGAATCACAGGACGTAGAGGGGAGAGGAGAGAGGTCAGAGGTGATGTTCCTCCCACTCCCACTTTGCAGCATCATATGGTAGGGCTTCTGAGAGAGAATGGTAGCCGTACTGATCATGACTGATGAAATGCTGCTCTGTGTAATGTTAATGATGTCTGTTTGCCCCCCTGGACTGAGACAGCCAGTGGCCCTGCCCTTCATTACTGCTGTATCCCCAGCACAGGGCTGGGCACTGAATGGAGTACAGTAAACAGTACATTTTGCATTTATGCCACAAATCCTGATTGCACCAGGCCCTGTTTTCAACACTGGGGATATAGTAATGGGCAGACAGACAAAAATCCCTGCTCTTGTGTAGCTGACATTGTGGAGTGAGAGATGAACAATAAATGAGCAAAGAAGTACTACATTTAGTATGTTAGAAGGTGATAAGTGCTAAGAAGAAAAATGGAACAGGGAATAGAAGTGGAAAAGTTAGGGATTATTGCAGTTTTGAATAGGGTAGCCAGGGAAGGCCTCACAAAGCAGATGGTATTTGGCAAATGTCTGAGGGATGTGAGGGAGTGAACCCTGTGGATACAAGAGGGAAAAGCATTCCAGACAGAAGGACACACAAATGCAAAGGCTTTGCTTTTTGCCAGTAGAGAGGGGCAGCCTGGGGAGGGTTCTGTGACAGGTGGGTCCTGAGCTAGCTTAGGTGTTCACAGGCTCCTTCTGTCTGCATTTGGAACAGGCTGGGAGGACAGGTGAATTGGGAAACCATGGAGGAGGCTGTTAAGGGGTTGGCCCCAGGTGAGCGCAGTAGAGGGGGTAGAAGTGAGAAGATTCTGGGGGATCTCTTGTTCACTGCTTTAATCCCAATGTCCAGAACAGTGCCTGGTACACAGTAAGAGCTCAATAAGTATTCATTGATGAATGAAGAATTGAATGATAAGAGGTCAAGAAAGAAGTCCATGACTCTGACTGCCCTTTTCCACTCTCTCATTCTGGAGAGAAGTTGGGATATCATCTGAGAGCCTGTATGAATGAGCTGCTGGTGTGGTTGAAGAGTGTGTGCACAGGCTGTCACTGGTTTGCTCATCACCCCAGCCCTGCCTTACCCTGATTTACTCCCACAGGAACCCCAGCACCCACCCCTATCCCTGCTTCAGCCCCTGTCTCCTCCCGGGCACCCCTGCGGCCAGAGGATGACATTCTGTACCACTGGCGGCAGCGTCGGAAGCTTGAACAGGCTCGGAAGCTTGAACAGGCTCCAGGAGGCCAGGGCGATGGAACCTGGATGTTGCCCCAGACCCCTGCCCTCACCACTGCAGTGAGATGAGGAGGGATCCTAAGGGAAGTTGGAAGGGGAAGGGCTAAGGGGGACTGAAGAACCTCTGCCCTTTCTCTCCCTCTCAGTTTCCTGTCCCTATCTGTCTACAGAGCTCTCCGGCTCCTGCAGAGACAGTTGGTTCCCTGGGAACTCAGCCTACCTGTCTTCCTCTTTGGGGCAATGTGCCCTGGCCTGCTCCCCAGGGGACCTTCCATGTGGAAAGGGCTCCTATTCTCACAGGATTCTCTCCACACATCTTTTGGGGTCCCAATCCCCATGGGTTCTTCTGGGCCCCACAGTCCGGTCCCTGGGTATCTCTTGGGGCCATTCCTCCCACGCCCTCAGCATCTGCCCAGGTGCCTCCGGCCTCCACTCTTGCCCCCCAGGGCCCACCCACCCCTGTGCCAAGCAGCCCCGCCCAGTCCGAGAGGAAGGGCCCGAAGCCCCGCAAGAGCAGAGGTCCCCGCCAGGAGTCTGCTGGGAGAGTCACGGCCGCTGAGCAGGGGCCTGGCCCGCAGCTCAGAGGTGCGCTGGGCCAGGTAGTAAAGGCTCGGCTGTTCCCAGACCGCTTGGAGGACACGCCCCCTCGCCTTGAGGGTCCACCTCCACTGGAGACTGAATCTCTGAAAGTCAAGGCCACACACCACCATGCCAAGGTTATGTCCTGCCCCTCAGAAGTAATGCCCCCTCCGTCTGAATCACGGTTTCCATGGGCAGAGACCCCTCCAGGTCTGTCTACTACACAGCCTCGAAATGTCAAGGCCGCACCTCCCCTAGTGCCCTCAGTGCCTAGGAAGGACAAAAAAAAAGACCCTCCCTCAGCTGAAGCTGGGTATCTGCAGCCCAGGGTCCCGCCCCCTCCAGCTGAGGAGGTGGCCACTTGGGTCAAGGCCCCGCCATCTTCACTCAAGGCAGGGTCTCTTGAGGCCTTGGCCAAGCCTTCATCCTCCACTGATCCTGCCCCCTCAGGGGACCTGCTGTCCCAGGCCATTTGGCTTCTGCAGACTGCCGAAGGTGAGGTGATGCGTGGGGCTGCCCGGGAGCTGCGTGGTGGTACAGCACCCTATGACTCCTGTTCCCTGTAGCTTGCTCTTTTTCCATCAGACTCTGATGGCAGCGAGTTCCAGGATGACCCTGTACTGCAGGTGCTAAGGGTTCAACGGGCGGAGCTGCGGCAGCAGAAAAGGTGACCATCACCAGGATCTACAACGCTGGGCCCCTGAATCCCCTGAGATCCCCACTGGGTGCTCACCCCTCCTGAACTCTTTTCCTGGAACCATCCAGAGCCCCAGACTCCAATCTGAGCACATACCACAGCCTCTGCTCCCCTGGCTTTTTTCCAGGCAAGTGGATGCCCAATTATCCCATCTGCTGGACCACACTGAAGACCCAGGGTCTTGGTTTCCTCCAGCCAGGTGACCCTCCAGGTCCCCAGTGAGGCAGCTGCGGAGGGAAGGAGCCTATCTTAAGGCTAGACAACTGAATTGTATAAATCCCATTTTTCCCAATAAAATATTTTTTTCCAGGTTACTGGCTGTCACTGAGAAAAGGGTTATTCTGGAAAGACCAAAGATCATGTTTAAGGGAAGTGGCTCCCCTCCCCACTGTGGTTGTGCCCTGCCATACCCCTACTCTAGTTCCTGACCATTGGTGGAAAATATCTTCTGGTTTCATCCTCTCCAACATCAGGACAGGAAAGGGATTCCAGGCAAGATTTCAGCTAAGACTTCACCTTACCTGATTCTGAGCTCAGGAGTGGGTCTCTCCCTATCTCAGATGAGATTGAAGTAACTGACTTCTGGGCATGAAGCTAATGGTGTCATCAGAGTGTTGGACGGTGGTTAGTCTTGGGTCCACATCCTACTCAAGCCAGCAGCAGCATTTGATGTGCTCCCTCCCTCCTTGAAGTGCTTCCTTGCCTGGTTTCCAAAACCCCACACCTCTCTTCACCTCTCTGGCTGTGCCTTTACTGACCCAACCTGTCATCCTGGTGTGTCCTAAGGTATTGGCCTTGACTTCTCTATACTCATCCCCAGGTGCTCTCATCCAGCTTCATGGCTCCAAAGCCCATCTCTATTCTGATAGTCCCCAACTTGCTATCTACCCGGCCACTGAGCCTCAGGCTTCCATATCTTGCTACCCACTCGCCATTTCCACTCAAAGGTCTAAGAGGTGTCTCAAACCTCACAAGTCCTAAACTGAACTCCCCATTTTCCTCCTAAACCTGTTCTTCTCCAGCTTCCCTCAGCTCCATCTTTCTAGTTGCTCAGGCCAAGCCTCGGAGTTGTTCTTAACTCCTCTCTTTTCCTCACCCCCACAGTTGACTAGCAAGTCCTTTAAAATCCCTCCAGAATTTAATCCCTTCTCCCCCTTCCATTGCCCTCACTCCAGTCTAGGCTATCATCACCTGTCTGGTCTATTGGAAAACTTATTGTTTTGTCGGCAAATTCTTTGACACACTTACCATCAAAAAGTAGTCTATGCCCCTTCTTGAACTGGGTAGAACTTTGTGACTGCCTCAACAAATAGAATGCAGAGGAAGTGATAACTACTTTAACTTTCTAAACTAGGTTAGGAAAGATTATACAATTTCCACTTGTTTTCCTCTCTTTCTTACTTTGGAATCCAGTTGCTAAGCTGGGTAGGAATTTGGGTTACACAGGTTTATGCATTTGTCAAAATTCAGTGAAATTTCTTTATTTCATTGTATATAGCTTTACCTCAAAAGAAAAATAAACACTGAACTCTAGTGAAAGATACACATGCTCAAATATTTAGGGGACAGTATACCAATGTTTAATTTATTTTGAAGTGCATCCAAAAATTAACAGATGAATACAGTAACAGATAGATGTGAGGTAAAGCAAATGTAGCAAAATGTTAGTGATACGATCTAAGTGGTGGGCATATGGGTGTCTACTGTAAAATTGTTCACTTTGTTGTGTGTTAGAAACTGGTAATATGTTGGAGAATATATGATCGGGATTATTTTGATACCTTTATTTTAAGAGGAGGAAAATTTCTGTTAAAAGTAGCTTCTGTAGGTTACAGACATGGTGAACATTTGTTTTCAACCTTTTTGAACAAACCATACATTTAAATGAAGTCAACAAGAAGGAAATAGCTGTTAAGATATAAAGAGGAATAGAAGATGTTTATAGTAGTAGCACCTGATCCAGTTGGGGGTAGGGTGGGGGCTTACTGGGGCCTAGAAGGATTCCTAAGGAAATTACATTTAAGCTGAGACAGGTAGCAATTAACTAGTTGGCAAAGGGCCATCCTAATTCAATTACTGGGTTACAAACAACCCACAAAACAGTGTCATAAAACAATCATTCTATGATGCTATTGGATTCTGAGTCAGAAATTTGGACAGGGCACAGTTGGGACAGTTTGTCTCTGCTCCATGATGTCTGTAGAGTTTAAACTGGGAAGACTCAAAGGTGTCTTGATAGCCAGGGGTAGAATCTCTGGAGCTTTCTTCACTCACAAGTCCGGCACCAGGGCTCATTTGACTCCGGGACGGCTCCCCTGGAACTGTGGACTCTAGTGCCTACACATGGTCTCTCCATGTGGCTTGGGCTTCCTCAAAGCATGGCTCCTCAGCCTACTCACGCTTTTCACATGACACCTCAAGGCTGTGAAGAAGCTGCATTGCTTTTTACCACCTAGCCTTGGATATGACAGAGTGTCAATTCCACTATTTTCTGTTGGTTGAAGTTGTCACAGTCCTGCCCAGATCTGACAGGGTGGGGACGTAGACTCCACCTTTTCATGAGAGGAGTTTCAAAGAATTTGCAGTCAGGTGTCATACCTTCCACTGAGGCTGATGAGAGTGGGGAGAATCTGGGCAATGTGAGTGAGGTCAGCAAGTTCAGTAAGTTGAAATAAGTAATTATAAATTGACCCCTGTCTCAGTACTCCCTTTCCCCAATCTCTGCTTACCTTTTTTTATTTATAGAATTTAACACTTTCTAATTTTCTGTATTTTTAAATATTTTCTTCATTGTCTTCTTCCAACAACTTTTGAGCTCCATCTGGATAGGGTATATATTTCCGTTTTGGCTAGTGATGTATCTACAAATTAAGTGATCAGAGTTTCTGAGTGAATAAGTGAATGGATCAAGGCTGTACCTTCGGAGGGGAGGCCCCTGTTGAAAGCATAACCAATGAGAGAGTCTTCTTGGGAAGGGGATTGTTACAGAGCGTTTTCTGGGCCTTGCTCAATCAGTGGTGGGAATGATTGGGATTGGCTTTGTGGGAGGTGTGGTCTTGTTCGGGCATTTTGGACTCAGCCCACCCTAGGAAAAGGAAGTTAAGGCTGGAGGCCGACCTGTAGTAAGGAGGAGGAGGCAAGGAAAATATCCAGTGGGTAGGGTAAGGCCACGTCGCAGAGTGCTTAGGGTTATGTCCCAGGCAGGGCATCTGAGCTACTGAAAACCATGGGCGAATGTTCTCTCAGTATTCTGTGGGTGAGGTCAGGGTCAGGACTGACAAGGTGGGACTAGACGTTTGAGACTTTGGAAAGCTTTTTGGGGACACAGAAAAGCCCTGAGGCCACGGAAGAATCCAAGTAAGAGTGTCAGAGGAGCGGTGACTGAGAGTGGACCAAGGGGAGGACCCATTGCTTAGCTTTAGAAGTGTTGGAAGCAAAGCAAAAAGAACCTGGGGGTGTGTCTCAGGAGGGCAATAACAGCCAATGAAAAGCAGTCGTGGGCGTGGTGCTGTCAAACTTGGTGGGGCGGGACCGAAGAGACCGAGGATGGGACCCAAGCCGAAGCCAATGAAAAGCTGCTAGGTGGGTGGGGTGCTGTCCCAGGCCAAAGGCGGAGCCAATGAGAAGCGGCGCCGGGTCCCCACTGCCCCGCCCTTGCGGGGCGCGCGCCAGAACCAGGGGCAGCCGTTAGGGGCGGGGCCTGCAGCCGCTCGCGCGCGGCCCGCGCCCACCCCTTTGTGTCGCCATGGCGGCGGCAGCGGCGACGAGGACGACGAACAGGGTGTCGAGCGCGGCCGGCGCCTGAGGAGGCTACGCGACCATGGTGGTGAGGGGTCCACGCGGCCGTCAATCGGTCCGGGCGTCAGTCTGTCCGCGCGCGGCCCCGCCCCGCGCGCTCCGCCCCCGGCCCCGCCCGAGCCCGCGGCCTGCGCCGCCCCTCACCCCTTGTTGAGGTCCCGCTGGTTCCCCCTTCAGGTCTCCGGCCGAGCCCGGACCCCGGCCCCGCCCCCTCAGCGCGCATCCCCTTCCACACCCTGGGTTGGGGTCATCGTGGCCGAGGACCCAGGCTTGGGAGAAGGAGGGGCCTGCCTAGGGAAGACCCGCATCCCCCAAGTGGTCCCTGCAGGAGCCTGCGGAAGCTCCCTGGATCCTTACCCAGTCCCCGTCCCAGCGCCGTCTTCACGTCCCCATTCCCAGCCTCCACCCCTCCCTGGCCTGGCATCCTCCTCCTCCGACCACCGGCCCCTTTCCCGTTCTTGAGCCCCACCCCCACCCGGCTCCATCCTCGGCCTGACCCTTTTCTTCTCATCGTTCTCATCCCGACCCTTTCAGCCAACCCTCCCCTAAGGCACATCAGCCTGAACCTTTACTTCAGCCTTTCCAGCTGCTCCCCTCCTACTCGCTCCTCCCCAGCCCCAAGCCAGCATGGTACCTAGCTCTTGGGTCCTCTCCATCTTCTTGTCCTCACCCTCCTTCCCCCACCGTCTCCTCTCCCACCATGCTGCTCCTGCTCATTCATCCACTCATTCTTTCATCTGCTCACTTAACAGACATGCACTGAGGCCTCTGTGCAGACCCCATGTTCCAGGTATAGAGAGAGTCGGATCCCATCCTACCTTGGGGAGCTTCATGGGCTGGGTGGGGCCAGACCTGGGGGGTGAGACCCAAGTATGAACTCCAGTTTGCAGGGATATAAAGGAGGAAGAGAGTAGAACCCAGTCTAGGAATCCCCATCTGGCAGCTGGTAAATTTACTCATCAGATTTTACCTGGCTCTCTGACTGGGCTGGCACTGGGTATGGGGACCCAGGGGGGAATCAGGTACAACCTACATGTGAGAAGCACCAATTCTGCACCAGCTTTGTGCTGGGCAATGCTGAGGGGCCGGGAACTCAGCCGCAGGCCCTGATCCTGGGGAGATCACAGTCCAGTGGAGGAGATGGACTTGTCATCAGACAGTGACATCTGAGTACTCAGGGCCATGAGGAAGCTCAGGCAGAGTTGTCAAGCCTGGATGGGGGAATCTCAGGAATGGAAGAGTCCAGAAGAGGTGCCTAAAACAGTCTGAAGGGTCAGGAAGAACTTCTGAGAGGAGGAAACATGAGAGTTGAGACCTGAGGGGTGAGGAGTAGCCCTAGTGAAAGGCCTGGAAGGAGTGTTTCATGCAGAGGGAACAGCGATTGCAGAGGCCTAGAAGGAAATGAGAAGATGGTGCTTTTGCTGGACTCCTTGAAGTTCAAGACTCTGAGGGTGGAGTTAATGGGAAAAGATGGGACTGGGAAGGTTAGCAGAGACCCAAGAATGCAGAT